CTCTGCCTACTGTGATCTCTGTCTGTCAAATAAATAAATAAAATCTTTAAAAAAAAAAAAAAAAAGGAATTCGACCTTACATTGCCTTGAAGAAATAGTAACTCTGGCAAGGGTCAGTAAACTTTTTCTGAAACAGGTCGGACAGATAGTATTTTAGACTTGGAAGTGTGTCATGCTCAGGTGTCCCTGTTGCAACTAGTCAACTGCAATTGTTCTCAGAAGCGGCCATAGGACAATACATTAACGAATGGGCGTGGCCGTGTTTCTGCGTAACTTTATTTATAAAACCAGGCGGTGGATGGATTGGGACATAGGCTGTAGTTTGCCAACCCCCCAACCTACAGAAATCAAAGCCCCAGTGAACACCCATTGCTTCTAAAATAAGTTAGCATAGGGACGCCTGGGTGGCTCAGTTGGTTAAGCTGCTGTCTTTGGCTCAGGTCACGATCTCAGAGTCCTGGGATCGAGTCCCGCATCGGGCTCCTAGCTTGGCGGGAAGCCTGCTCTCTCTCCGCCTCTACCTGCCACTCTGCCTGCTTGTGCGCTCTCTTTCTCTCTGACACATAAATAAATAAAATCTTAAAAAAAAAAAAAAAACTAAGGTAGCATTATTTTTCCTCTAATTAATGCTGAAAAAATTAAAAATGATTTAATGCCAGAAATCTCTCCAAAAAGATCGTGTTGCTTTTTCAACATCACACTGGTATTTCAAGCAAGCATTTGCTGACCATGCTTCAGTCACCCTGGCCTTTCCATTCCTTGAACATGTTTCCACCTCAGGACCTTTGCACTCACTGATCCCTTGGCCTGGAAGAGCTAAACGCAGACCTTGGCATGCTGGTCTTCTCTCTTTTTGTTTCGGTTCTCAAGCAACAGGTTTTCCCTGGCCAGTCTAGCTACGTAACTCCCACCCACTATCATGCTCTATTACATCACTGGCTTTATTTACCTGGGTTGATAAATGCTATCTTTAAAAAAATCTTGTTTGCTTATTTGCATGTGGTCTGTTTTCCACAGTGAGAAGGTGAGCTCCAAGGTGTCTTGTTCATTAGAGTTCTCCTGGTACTCTGCTCACACACTGTTCGTTGTTCTGTGTGTTGGTAAGCCCTCATCAGCTCTCACAGCCTGTGCAAACACATGATTCTCCTTGAAGCAGTGGGGACCAAACATCTCAGACCTGGACATCTCGATTCAGCTTTCCTACAACTATTTACTGAGTACCTATCACGCATCAGGCGAGAAAACAGCAAGGAGGCTGGTATGGTTAGAGCAGAGAGAGGAAGAGGAGGAAAGAGATGTCAGAGAGGTTGGGGGATATGATCACACAGGGCTTTGTAGGACATCCATGGTAAGGTTCTGGATTTATGGAGTGAAATGGGGAGTAGTTGGAATTTTAAACAGAGAGCCATGATCTAGCTGCTTGGTGGAAAACAGACAGACAAGAGGGGATAAGAAGGGAATAAGAGAAACCAGTTTGAAGCCTCGTAATAACCCAGGTGAGAGGTGGTGGGGACTGGACCACAGCGGCCGAGGTGGAGGTCAGAAGAAGGGGTCGGATCCTGGGTAAATTTGCAAAGTACAGTCACTGGGACTTCCTGATGGCGACTACACTGGGGACTACACTGGGGACGGGGGCGGGGTAGTGGCAGAGAAAGAGGGAATTTCTGACCTAACGAAGAACAGGGTTTCTGACCTAACAGGGAAGGAGCAGCTACCCTCAAGCGCATGGGAAAAGCCGGGCTGCCCAGACGCACTGCAGGCGGGCAGCTCCGGCTTCCGATACTTTCCATTTCAGATAGATTTTAGGAGGTAATGCATCATCTATGCTGGAGTCCAGGACAGAGGTCTAGCTTGGAGGTACACACCTGCGAGCCACTGTCCCGTGGATCATACTTAAAGCCAGATGAGAGCACCCAGGGAACACAGACTGAGAGGGAAGATGACAGGGACTGGAAACTAGGGCATACTGGGTGAGGAGGCAGGAGGCAAAGAGGACCCAGTGAGACGCTAAGAAGGAGTTCCCAGTGAGGTAGGAAGGAAGCCAGAAGACTGGAATAAGGCCAAGCCAGGAGGAGGAAGCATCCACCCTGTCAAAGCTGCTGATGGGTCAAGGACACCAGACTGAGGACAGGCAATTGGGTTGAACAATACAGAAGTCACAGGGGCTCTAAAAGGGCAGTGCTGGCTGAGAGGTGTGCAGTGAGTTTAAGGTAGTGAGAGGAGAGGGATTGGAGACAGCAAGTAAGAACACTTCGAAGAAGTTTGGCTGCAAAGGGGAACAAAGAAATGGTGGCACCGGGTAGGGAGAACGACCTCAGGAAAGTTTGTTTTTGGATGATGGCGTGCTTGTGTGTCGACAGGGATAATAACCCAGGAGAGAAGAACTGAGGACGTGGGAGAGAGAAGCACTGGGGCTCAGTTCCAGAGCCGGAGGGAGGGGGGACACCGACTGCACAAGAGGGGAGGCCTGGATTTAGACAGAAGCATCTCGGGGTGGGGGGCACAGATGCTGAGAGTCTCAGGCCATTTTCTTCTGACTGCTTCCATGTTCTCAGTGACGTAGCAAACAAGTGGCAAGGATGGGAAAGGAGATGCTGGGTTTGCAGAAAGTGGGGGAACGGAGTCACTTCGGTGAGTGGGGAAGCAAATCAGCCAAGGATAGAAAGGATGCTTATGTACTGGCATTGAGGACCTGGCTAAGGGCTCAGTATTAAGGAGACCAGTCTGAAGGGTTAGTTCAATTACTCCTGATCTTGTACATCAACTTCTGCCAACAAGAACAAATTCAGACATGGCTTAGGGATGTAATGAAACAATGTTAATACATACATCTCAGCGGGCGCCTGGCTGGCTCAGTCGGCGGAACATGCGACTCTTGGTCTAGGGGTTGTGCATTTGAGCCCCATGTTGGGCACAGAACCTACTAGATACATATTTAAATCTCAGGAAAAGCACTTCTCAAGAGGCTGCCGTGAGAACCCTGACTCTGATCTACTTCAACTTGTGATCCACAAGACAGTAAACAGTTAAGGAGAGCCATCGCACTTTACCCTAAACCCACACTGGAATTTGCATTCTTTTCCAACAGCCCCGCCTTTTGTTACCTGCGTCCTCCGCCCCTCACCTAGGGCGGTGAGAAAGGGCAAGAAGTCAGGTGCAATCCAGAGGGGGAGCCAAGAAAGCCCTTTCCCTTCGTGACACGGAACGGAGCAGACACTTGCTAAAAGCTGAATTAACGGCATCTATTCCCAAACCTCCTGAACAAAACAGGATTATGACAAAGGTGCCGGGGAAGACAAGTGTAAGCTAACAGAAGAAGAAAGGGAACAAACACATAAATCCATGCAGTGAGACTTTATTCTGGCTAAGGACGTTATGTAACCCATTTTCCCACGAAAGGCATTACGATGAACAGTTGAGATATTTGGCTAATGAGCACGAAGCAGCCCCTTCCCTGTTGCTACATTCAGGATGTGAGGCGGATGCACACACGCAGTGCCAGAGATCGACCTGGGTTCAGCAAGTCATAAGGGCTGTTTCATTGAGCAATAGATTTTTGTTTGATTTACTCAATGGAAACAGAACTGTGTCATCCACAAAAACATCCACATGTACCCTCAGGGGCTTATTCATAAACAACACCAGCTCTAGAATCCACCTTCTCTCAGGGACACCTGACGTATCCCTTCTGCAGACACTCTTTGGGTTCAAACGGAATGTTTCTAGACCAAAAGTCATCTGGATCTTTAACAGGTCTTAAAACAATCTGCACCAACCCATTCCACCAAACAAGAAATCATTAAAGATTGTGACCACTACGTCAAGTTCCAGCTCCCTTCTACCAACAACTTTTACACATTTTATCTAAAAGCACAGATTCCTTGGATAATTTCGCCATTAAATATGTAAGCGGTCCAAGCACTTTTAAAATGCTGCCCACGGGACTCGTACAGGCTTCTGGATGGAGCGTGGATCGGGAGAAGCAGTTTGGAAAACTATCTACTTAGAGCTAAACACCTGTGACCCCACAATTCCAGTCTTGGGTGTATACAGAGTTCGTATCCCCAAAAAGGAGGCAAGCAATAGCCTGGCGGCTGAGAAATGGGTAAACTGTGGTATACTCACACACCCAATACCAACCACCAGTGAATGGAACAAGCTCCCACCATAGACAGCCACACGAATGACTGCTCCAAACCTAAAGTAGAACAAAAGAGGCCAAATGCAAATAGTGCTTAATAAGTGAGTACATTCACACGAGGTTCAGAAGCAGGCAAAACCGTCTGTGTCACTGGAAGTCAGAAGTGTGGACAGCCATGGGAGGAAGGTGTTGCACTGGAAGGGGCCAGGGGACCTCTGGGCCTGGATTTGCCTATTTCTCCACCTGGGAACTGATGACACGGGGGTGTTCACTCTGGGAAGATTTCTGGGGCTATACATTTATGACATGCACTTCTACCTCTCTATATATTACACTTCAATTAGGAGTTTTCTTGAAAAAAGAAAAGTAGCTCCAAAATTCAAAAACTATCCTTTAAAAAAAAAAAAAAGGAAAAGAAAAAGAAAAACAGAGCCTAAGGGCAATAACTTAGTTTTTATTTTTATTGTTCTATGAAAATGAATTTTCTCTATCAAAAGCAAGGTTTTCTTTTTTTTTTTTTTTGAAAGATTTTATTTATTTATTTGACAGAGAGAGACACAGTCAGAGAGGGAACACAGCAGAGGGAGTGGGAGAGGGAGAAGCAGGCTTCCCGTGGAGCAGGGAGCCCGATGCGGGGCTTGAACCCAGGACTCTAGGATCATGACCTGAGCTGAAGGCAGACGCTTAACAACTGAGTCACCCAGGCACCCCAAAAGCAATGGTTTCTAACTGAAATATTACCTTACATAAAAGGGGGAAAATATTTAAAGGACTATACATTCACAGGATAAATGAGTATATAAATTATCACTACATCCATTTTGCAATTAACAAACAACCTTTTTCAATATCAACTTACCTGAGCTGCTTTGCATAGCTGAGTTCAATCTCTGTCCTTTCCTTTACAAATTTGATGTATTTCTCAAGAATGTCAATTCCCCACTGTGTGTGTTTTTCTAAGTTGTCAAATTGGTCCTGTTTAAAAAAAAACAAAGAGAGAGAGAGCTTTAGAATCTTTCTCTGCGATTAATATAACTTCAGCGAACACTTCTCTCAACAATATGTGGTGGTACAAAAAGTAGTTCTAGTATTTTCCATGATTGTACTGGGTGCTTTTCTTGTGAAGCCATTTTAAATCAACATTACCAAATTTGGTTTGAAAACTGCCTGGGGTACTGAACTCTGACCCATTCGTTCATGTTAGAAACACAGTTTGGGGATATAGTTAACATTCTGGTACAAAGGAAAATATCTTTTCCAGATTCCAAAAACCGAGAGCTGAAACACACATCAGCTCAGTCGAGCTCGCCAGCACCTCACCTGTTGCCTCTGAGTTAATTCAAACCAGCTCACTGAAATTTGGGGCAAGCAAATGGGAACAGAAAGAGTGACAAAATACTGCCTTCTTCAAACAGATAAATGAAATGACTCATGCGGACTTTATTCAAACATTCGAACATTTATGAAACCCACACCGTGGGCCAGGAAAGGAGCTGGGGAACTGAAATGCACAGAAATAGAGCCCCATCTCGCCTGGAGGTTCCTAGCCTGGAAGAATGAGAGGAGGTGGGTATTTCAGCAACAGCTACTGCAAAGGCGAGGACACATCCAGGAATCTGGGGATGGGGGGGGGTGGCACTTATCCCTCTGGAGGGAAGGTGGGGGGCAGGGGGGAGGGCTCAAGGGAAGAATGGTGGTGGGTAAGAAACTGGAAAAAGTCCCAGCCCATCACCCCAGGCCTCAAACATCGGGAGTGAAGGAGCTTAGCCTCTCCAGTGCACACAAGTGAGCCGTTGAACTTGGAAGGAGAGGCACACCCACAGACATGCTTAGAATGGCCAGGAGGTGGAAGCCGGGAGATTATTCCCTTGTCCAGAGGAGAGAAAATGGGAGGAGAGGATACACAGACCCGTAACAACTAGAATCAACTAGTCTTGGCAGCTGATTGCAAGACGAGGCTGGAAAGGAATAGGAGGGAGAGGCGAGATTCTGGGGGCCTGCCTCTGGCTCCCGGGACGAGAGAATCGAGGGGCTGGGGTGAAGTAGCACGATGCCCGAGGGAGTGGCATGTCCAGAGGGGAGCTAGAAACACAGATCCATTCGGAGCTCAAGGAGGGAGGGCTGTGACCTGGTGGATCTGAAGGGATTCAAGGAGAGGGTCAGCAACGTCGCCTGCCGCTATGCCCTGAATTGGCGAAGAGGGGCCTGGCCTCTGGGAGAGCCCAGAAAGGCCTGGGAAAGCGACGGGAGTGTCAGTGCGACATTGCAGGGAAGGGAAAGCTGCCGGGATAGAAAGATGGACCATGTCTGCTGTCTCCTGGGAGATAGCAGGAAAAGAGAAATATGCAAGTTCTGGCCCCAGCCTGGAACTCCACCACCTGGGGCCACAGAATGTAGCCAAAATGTAGTCGTTTGCCTAGAGATGCCGAATCAGTCGCAGCCTAATTTCACAATTCAGTCATGAGAATCACAGGAAATGGAAAAGAGTCAAATTGAGTATAAAAAATACAAAGTCACAATTTAATCCTATCGCAGGTGTGAGATCCTAAGGATACAGTCAGTGCCGTCCTTCAGCTTGGTTTTAAAACCTAGCATCTGCCACTTTATACCTGTCCTCGTCCTCTCATTCTGCGTTCCATTCCAAGTTGTGCAAATGGGCAAATGAGTACACGGAGTTCCCTAGAAGTCCACCTTGGGTGGGAGTGTGGGTCCTGCAGAGCCAAAAACATTTTTCTTTCTTTCTTTTTTTTTAAGATTTATTTATTTGACAGACAGAGATTACAAGTAGGCAGAGAGGCAGGCAGAGAGAGAGGAGGAAGCAGGCTCCCTGCTGAGCAGAGAGTCCCATGTGGGGCTCGATCCCAGAACCCTGGGATCATGACCTGAGCCAAAGGCAGAGGCTTTAACCCACTGAGCCACCCACCTAGGCGCCCCCCAAAACATTTTTTCTCCAAGAAATTCTCTTCTTGAAGAAAACTCATTTCCTCTTACTTCCACCCAGGCCCACAGAACAGGTTGAGAAACTAAGGTTTTAATTTACTGGAATGGTTTTCTCATGAAAAAGAATCACTGCAAAATGTCTTCAAATCTAATAAATGTTTACATTATCATAAAAAACAAGGGACAACTCTGTAAGGTTTTCATTGATTCTTGTCCCCCAATAATATATTCCACGGACATCTAGTTTCTACTTCAAGGAATACTAGTCAGGAAGGTGATTTATTTATGTCCTCCATATAGACAAGGGTGGTCAAGCAAATTGATAGGGTAAACAAGACTGTGGGTCACTTCAAACTACTCGAGAGAACAAATATACAAACAATTCAAGTCATGATTACAAATCATTCCTAGCTCTTCAGAGCAAGGCTTGTTTAAAGCTCTGGGCTGGTTGGTAATTACCTCTGCTAACCTAGTTTCATAGCTAGTTTCCTATTTATTTTAAAACGCCTTTCCAGACCCCTCCCCTCCATTTGAGTCCTGGTTCATATCCCAATCCCAGAAGCTTACTATATTCAGGAGTTAAAGGGGTTTCCTTGAAAACTTGCTAACAGGGGCACCTGGGTGGCTCAGTGGGTTAAAGTCTCTGCCTTCGGCTCAGGTCATGATCTCAGGGTCCTGGGATGGAGCAGCACCATCGGGCTCTCTGCGCAGCAGGGAGCCTGCTTCCCCCTCTCTCTCTGCCTGTCTCTCTGCCTACTTGTGATCTCTGTCAAATAAATAAATAAAATCTTTAAAAAAAAAGAAAGAAAGAAAAAAAAAGAAAACTTGCTAACATCATCTGCTTTTAGATTGTCCTGATGATAATCTCACTACATATTTTTCCCTGTGAGTATCTGATTCTTCTTTTTCTTTTTCTTTTTTAAGCTCTGGTGTATAGAATACAGAGCAAAAGCTTTTGATACTGAAACTCTTTGTTTTTTTTTTTTTTTTAAATCTACACTTGAATTGAGTCTACCTTAAAAATTACTGGCCCCAACCCAACAGTATGTTTTCAATAAAGTTATCTGTATTCAGGAACATTCTGCAAGCTGTAATAAGGTCAAAATAAGATAGAAGATCTTAATGCTAAAAACCTTACTCAGTAGCAACAAATAAACTAGTACTTGTTTGTCAATATAGGATCGGCTCTTTTTATGCTGTATTAGAACATCTCTTGGGGGGCCTGGCTGGTTTAGTAGGTGGAACACGCAGTTCTTGATCTTGGGGTTGTGAGTTTGAGCCCCACACTGGGTGTAGAGCTTACTTAAAAAAAATAATGAAATGAAATAAAATGTTGTCACAAATAAAATTTTTTAAAATACTAAGACTTCCCTAATGATGCCACACTCTACCCCTCCCATCACATGGATTGCCACGGCATGGAGTTTTTTGACAGCAGCTAAAAGCAAATTCAAAACAGATGAAAAACTAATCAACCCACTTACATTCTTGACCAAAATGTGGAAAACTTAATGGAAAAACATTCCAAATCTTAAAAAGACTCCTTTGTGAGCAAATATTATAAAGGGCCCTTTAAAAAAAGAGCCTTCAGGGGCGCCTGGGTGGCTCAGTGGGTTAAAGCCTCTGCCTTCAGCTCAGGTCATGATCTCAGTGTCCTGGGATCGAGCCCTGCATTGGACTCTCTGCTCAGTGGAGAGCCTGCTTCCCCCTCTCTCTGTCTCTGCCTGCCTCTCTGCCTACTTGTGATCTCTGTTTGTCAAATAAATAAATAAAATATTAAAAAAAAAAAAAAAAAACAGCCTTCGGCACTTTGGAGATGGGGCCATTAGCAAAAATAGACCCTTCCCTTGTGATGTTACAGGACAGCAGTTCTGCCCTCTTAAAAATCATTAAGGACCTTCAAAAGCTTTTATTTATGTGGGTTATGGCCATCAATACTTACTGTATCAGAAATTAAAAACTGAGAGTTTTAAACATGCTTATTAATTTATTTTAAAAGACGACACTAAATCCATCACATGTCAAAAGAAACAGCACTTTTTTAAAAGAACTTTCCTTTCCAAAACAAAAACAAAAAAGTGAGAAAACTGGCACTGTTTGACTTTTTTGCAAATCTATTTAATGTTTAGTTTCATAGAAGACAGCTGGATGCTCAGATCCTTCTGAATTCAATCTCGTGCGACTCCTTACTTTGGCTGAAATAGGAGAAAAAATAAGACTTCGCGCAGATATGTAGTAAGAAAGTGGAGGAGTAGTTCAAGAGCCTTTTTAGGTCACGCTGGCTATTGCCTGATACTACCCCAAGATTCAACTAATAGTTTCTTAAAGGCTAGTTGCAATATGAAATCTGAAACCCTCCCAAAGAATTTTTCGCATCAGGTTACAATAAAATGCACTCATTGATCTCATGCTCTGAATGTATCTTTTGCCTGCACGTGACTGTGTAACATTATTTAGAAAACACCATTTACAAAGTATCATTGTATCTGTATACAAAGTATCACTGATAACTTGCAGATCTTCCAAATGTTGCCACATTGCATTACAAAATATATTCAAATCACATTTGTTTATATTGCTACCTATCTTGTCTTTTCCAATGTCTTTATTTTTAAATTTTTATTTGTTTTTAAAAATTTGTTAGAGAGTGGGGTGCCTGGATGGCTCAGTGGGTTAAAGTCTCTGCCTTCGGCTCAGGTCATGATCCCAGGGTCCTGGGGTCGAGCCCCACATTGGGTTCTCTGCTTGGCAGGGAGTCTGCTTCCTCCTCTCTCTCTGCCTGCCCCTCTGCCTGCTTGTGATCTCTCTGTCAAATAAATAAATAAAATCTTAAAAAAAAATTTTTTTTTTGTTAGAGAGAGAGAGAGAGAGAATACACACAAGTGGGGAGGAGGGACAGAGGGAGAGGGAGAAGCAGGCTCCCCGTTGAGCAAGGAGCCCGATGTAGGGCTCGATCCCTGGACTCTAGGATCATGACCTGAGCCAAAGGAAGTTGCTTAACTGACTGAGCCACCCAGGCACCCTATTTATTATGT